AAGCATGTTAAAATCGTTAAATTTCATTTTTAATTCGTTTTGCATTTTTAATTCGTTTTGTTCTTGAACTGTGTTGTTTATAAACTTATATTGACTTAAATTACCAGTTTGAAATTTGAGGAGTGAGCGGTGCTAAAAACAAATGGATTTTGAATAATAATAATAATAATAATAATAATAATAATAATAATATGCACTTTTAGTATTTAGTAAAGATGTATGGTGAGGTATTATCCCCGCACATTTCTTGAGCCCTCGTTTCGCTAATTGCCAGAGGAGTGAGGAGTTAGGTTATTTTGAGAAAAATAATTTTGTAATATTTGTAGTTCATTTTTCGATGCAAAATAGCTTCATTACACGGGAGCTAACATTTCTGGTTATCAAATTTTGTTTACAACGCTCTTTTCTATCATTATTTCTACTAATATTTGCAAAGAAGTGGGGGTAGATATTCCGGAGCTCGAGAAAACTTGCGATAGTGTGAATACTCACATTCGTTTGTTGCGTGGGAATCCTGCCTATGAAGGCAAACTATTTTTTCTAAGGGTATCGTGAAATAAACTTGAGAACATGTGGTCCGTTTCCATCGTCGTTCCCTCCACAATTAGGTACAAAAATGTGGTACAAAAATTTTCGTTTTATAGGCCCCAAAATGCTTCGATTATAAGTTATTTATCGATTTAGCTGACTGAGTACTGTGGGTTGCATTTGACATGAGTATTTAAATGCGTTTAAAAAAAAGAACATATTTTGAAAGTCAAAGTGCATTTCGTCACATCTCCGCAAAATTCTTTCTTTAGGGACTTCATTTATAATGATGGGTTGCGTGTGAGAACTCCGAAAGGCATGTATCCTACTGAAATATTGAGACAATTTTGCGTAATGTTAAGCTGTGACAGCTGCAACAATGTGGTAGTATAATGTAATTGATACTGAAGAATCCTTCATACGCCTTCCTTCGGAGGGGAAGTAAAGCCGGCTGTCCCATGTTCGTAGATTTACTTGCATGTAAAAGATCCTCAAGCCTAAATGACGCCTCTGAGCTAAATTCAAGTCGCCTGTTTCTCGCCCAAGATACCTCCTTTCTCCGGTAGTTGGTGAAAGGAGCGTAGCGAAATTTGCGTGGTCAGACGGAAGAGCAGGCCTAATGGCCTGAGTCTCGCCACGTAAAATAAGGCATAATTCAATTCAATTCAAGAACAAAGATTACAATATATTCAATTTACAGATCAGTGTCTCCAATCAAGTGAACGTTATTATATAAAATGTGAAGCGGAATCAAATTTGAAGTTTGCAGATATCACAGAAAACGAAATACAATTTATGTGACAATTAATAATAGTATATAAGCATTAAAGTATGAGCAACATAAGCACGATTTAAAATAACTGAAATCAACTGTTGATTTCGTGTATATATATATATATATATATAACTGATTGACATAAATTAACTCCAAAACCACCCACCAAAATAATATATCAATAAAGTCAATGCTAACTTCACAAGAAATAGTTTGGGCTACAGCCCGCAAACCACCCAATAAAGCATAAAGCATATATATTCTTTATATATAAACGTTACAATATATATATATATATATATATATATATATATATATATATATATATATATTTAATGTAACGTTTCACGGTGGCGAATTAAAACCAACACAATATTTTAAACAACATTTATTTGTAATCAATTATATACCCAAATCTTTTCTAAAATTGTTTTCTTTACACACGACTCCGTTCTCTTGATTATTTACACTGATCACTTGTCCAGTATCACACAGTTCGCTGCACTCTCCACAGTCCACTGCGCTGACCACAATTCCCTGCGCAGACCACACTTCACTGCGCACACCAGGGTCCACTGCACTGCTGTTTACTGCGATGCACACTTTACAGCTCAGCTTCCACTGCAGACTTTAAACTGCTGACTGCTGTTTCCCCACTGCACCACTTTTTATTGCGATGCACACTTCACAGCTCAGCTTCCACTTGAGACTGCTGACTGCTGTTCACCCACTGCACCACTGTGCACCGCAATGCACACTTTACGGCACAGCTTCCACTTCAGACACACTGACGGACTGATTGCTTATTTACTGACACCACTCACACACACCGACTAACTTACACATACTGACTTAACTGCTACGTCTTACAGACGTGACTGCTAGTGACTCGCGGCCGCCGGCAGCGACGCATTTATACCTGGCCGGCGCTCGTATCGATATGTCCGGCATTTTCTCCGCGCTTCCCTGCGATTCGCGAATAGTCTGGAACCGTCAGTTCGGGGAGGGAAGAGAAGGGGCGCCGGCAGATGACGCAATCCACGCGCAGCGAATCCGGCAGGTGGTGCAATATTCGTTACAATATAATTGAAGATTCAATATTGATAAAGCTTTCATTGCCTTCATTAATACTGGAGTCAGTGTATATTACGTGTTTTAAACTCGTAAAAATACTGGGATCCCAATCAAGGCCAAGTTATGCTTCTTGAAGCGCTACACTGCTCAACGATTTTAAGAAAGGGTAACACCGTAATGATGGAAGTTGGCTTGAAGCCGTTAGGGGGAGAGCTGGCCTCCATCAGATGGCGGCCGTTTTCTCCGATTATGAGTTCACCTCCCCGATTTGCTTAGGCAGCATTAGTGTCAAACCAAACTGCCGACGTCATTTTTCTGTGTTGCATAACGTTTAAGTTTCTTGGAAGTTCATGCGGACGACTCGTGCCCTCAGGCTCGCTTAAAGAAACACTTGGAACCACCCTAGTACTGGTTAGGGGTGAACCACTTGTCAAGTCGCATACTGTTAGCGATCAGAACACCACGGCGAGCGAAAAACCGCTGCTGCCCTAGATGGGATGCTGCTGCCCAGATGGGATGGAGGTGAGGTTCAGGATCGATTGCCATGTCTTCTTGGTGCATTACCCGCTCTATTGTTGAATATTAAAATTCTCCAGAGGTACAACAGCTGATATCGTAGATAAATTGTTAAAATCTAAAGTTTTGCTTATCGGAATCTGTAACGATATTCTTTTGGACAGGAGTTATTTGGGTGCGACGTTACATTTCGTGTGAAATGGTTTTTGTTTTGCTACATTGCAGTGTTCAACATTAAACAGTATTTTAACTTTCATTTTCGCTCAGTTTGCAGTAGAGAAGTTCTATTTGTACTGAAATGGGCGTCTCCAAACTCGCGACTTGTTTTACTTATTCAACCATGTTTTACTTATTCAACTGTTCGATTTAGGCATAAAGAAATGTGGGTATTCGCGATTAAACTCAGAGTTGTGTAGTAACTAAGTCAAATGTATCTTTTCATCACCCGTTCTCTTTTGGCGCCCTGTGCTTACAATTCTACCTGCTAAAGTTATTTACAGAAGCAAAACCCGACAAAAACCAAACTAACGCTTCCATCGCATCTGGTGTTTTCTACGCAACTCTATTTCAATGTAGCTTGCCCTCTTAATCCCCACTCACAACCCAAAAATATAAAAATACGAAAATTCAGGGGAAAAATGATTTAAAAAAGTAACGCAAAAGGCTTTAAAAAGTTGAAATTACTATTTATTTCGCGGTAAAAAGTGCATAATTTAATTTAAAAGTGCATAAATAAGGTTATTGTTGATAAAATCAAGCTCAACTTCTGTTTACTATTGTGGCGTCGTTAACACGAGGGCCAGAACCGTTAGGTCGGTGAAAGTACGCTGCGGGGGAGGAAGGGGTTGAGCCTGAACTTCCGGGAGTTTGCGCTCTGGCGGGTGACTCAGGTAGAACCGCAGAGCCAAAAATACCGTAGGCTGTAAACTCCGAGGATGCTAGCCTGCGAGCCTCGTTTACGGAAGCAGGCAGCCAACCCTGAGAATCCTGTGTGGGGGCGTAAACCAAAGCTGGTCAGCGAGCCTCGCGCCAGCCTGCGAGCCTATCTATGGAACAGTGGTGGGGGTGTCAGCCTCAACTATTTAACGCGGCGCCATCTGCGCCCGCGTTCTCATTCAGTTTGCATCGGGAAGCTTGTACGTGTGTGTACGAGGAGTGTAGGAGTGTGGGCGAGATGTCCGGAGAGTCAGGGTCAGACGATCTCGCGTGCTGTAGGCACACGGTCGCCACGACCGGGTTAAATTTTGGCGTCAGGCCATGTGACGGTAATTGTCACGGGACAGAGGTCCGACAGCGCGCATCACGCGTGGCTTGTATTTTCTGCGGTAAAGCAGTGTTCTGAAAGGAAAAGGTTGCCGGAGTGTTTTGATATTAGCAATTCATTGTAACTTGTACATAATCTTTGAATATATTATTTTTATTTTGTTATTGAAATTTATTTCTTATTTCACTACGTCACACTATTAAAATAAAAAAAGACAAAACAAATATACAGGCCTTAATGATAGCGATTGCTGGAATCGTCACCATATCTCTAGACAGTGATGACGATCTCCCATTGACAGTGTTGATCATTTCTATTGAATATTAAACGCATTTGTGTGAATGGTGGGGGTAACAACTGACAAATAGTGTTTGGAGAAAATTAAAATTAGAACAGGCACCTTGTACATCCCTGTATAGTTATGCAATTGAAAGTACGCTAAGATGAAAGTGATACAATTTCGTAAAATATGATTGGAATTATTTTTATTATAAAAATTAAATTCTGTATTAAGTTAGTTTTTTGTAAGAGAGCATTCCGGTCGCCACAAGCGGAACTCTGAAACACTCTGCAGAACACGCACCACCGATACAGCGGAGAACAGCTGAGAACGAGCGATACCGATAGTTGCTGTCTTTGACTGGTATTTTCGTGCTGATTCCATTAGCGGGTAAGAAGCGCGCTTGCTCTCACGACTGAGAAAGCAAGCCAGCGAGAAGTATCGATCATAGAATTGTTTTGTCCCTGTCTACCCATGACAGAAGTCTCCCCTTTATCACGATTCTCTGATGTTTTTAGTTAAAGTAATATTTTCTAGTATTTCATTGAAAACCATTCTTTCAGGTTTTTGTTTCGTTGTTCCTGTAACGTCCCAGCTTTGAGCCGAAAAATGGAATGTGCGGCTGTCCAGAAGGATTGCGACAGTGACACCGAAACTGTTGTGTGTTTACTCTCTGATGACGAGAGCGAACCTGTGAAAAAAAAGCTTTGGTCCAGGAAGATTGGAATTCAAAGGAGTCCTCCAAGATGGTATTTATTTTTTCTAGCGATGGAGCAGTAACTTTTAATGTGTTCTTGTTTACCCGAGAACTGTTTCATATGTAAAGTTATTTACCAAGCGGTGTAGTACATATACTCGATCAAGTATAAAGAAAAATTCCGCGGTTCTGTGCAGTCATATGGATAATTGAACTTGCCCTCTTGCATTGCAGGGTCTCTGGGTGTATTTAATGTTCTTAAGAAGTAGGAGTGTAGTGTCATGACAGATTGTTTAACCATGTTTTAAATAACGTGAGACTGCGTGGCCATCTTCATATTTTGGAGCGGCGAAGTTAAGGTAAATAAAGCACATGAACGATCTTCGCGAATCTTCAAGAAATTGGCTGAAGCTAATTAGCTGTGGCTAAGCATTTGAAGAACGAATGTATGAGTAAGCGGAAGTATAAGTAACGATTAAAAATATTGATGTCTCGACAACATAAGCTGCCGTGGAGTTTCGTTTTGTACATTTATCTGCGAAAATGGCCTAAACACGAATTCGTAACTCAATCGATAACCACAATTCAATGATGCGACTGTCTTGACTGTGGTGTCGGTGGATGCCACCAAGGAGCAGTAGCCCGTGTATTCGTGCAGGCCTCGGTGCGGCGGCAGAAACTGATTGCTCAGCGACTTGACTCCATCGTTCTGGGAAAGCCCACGTGCGTATGAGGATTGGCAGTTGTTTTAAATTAACGATTGAAAACGTAAAACTCTATTTCCAAGAACATTTTATTTTATTATCTGAAACTATCCATCTTATTGCTTCAATCTGGCTACCAATTACGGTATGTAGATACCGTCGCATTCACCGGCAGTTTCCGTCGGGAGGAGAAATGGAAATGATCGACGGCCGCAGTCCCTCACCCGACATGTCGACCCGTGCTTTTTTAGAAACCTACTACCCCGTCGCTGGAAGCCTCCGAGTGTGATTCACGCCTCTGCCAGATATCAGCTTTGGCTAACCGAACTGGTCGGGGAACGTGATCTCGTGAGGATGCAAATTTACTGGAGCGGCATAGTATTGCCGCTCATGTACGAGATTTCGTGAACACAGGCGTGATATGGCCTCTGGATTTTCCCCCTTCGAAAATTCTCGAATCTCGGTCGTGATCTAACTCGTGCTCTGGGCGTGCTGATTCGTCAACCAAAGATATTCTATTACACAACTACTGCTGCGTTAAAAAAAGACTGTCGTAATATCAGGCAAAAAGATACATGCAAGGTACTCGAAGGGACCCGAATAAATCCATTAGGGAAGGGGTGTAGAACAGCGTACCGGCACAAAACTATCTATGGTTGAAGAGAAATGTCATAAAATATATCAAACAGTCCTTTTGAATTCCCTTTATAACCTGGATTGCTCTCGGTTTGTCATTCTCCCGATTGCCATCGGCAGACGACTCGCGGATCAGTCGCGGACCCGTTGGTGTGCCATCGCTCTTACGGTTCGGCTTGTCTCGGTAGAAGCTGGCACTACTTTATCCACTTGCGGGCGATTCTCAGAAATGTCTGCCTCTCGAGAGTGCTTTCACCGACCCCTCCACCTAACTGGGGAGTGGTTAGCTCGCGATGGAGATGCGACAGTTCACTTAAGATGGAGGCGAAGAGAGCGGCGATGTGTTTCGTTATTAATTACGCTTCTTTAGAAACGTCTTTAGATGAGAAGGAATTGTCCGTCAATCAAATATGAGTACTTTCGCACGCCACTTGAAAAAAATTGAAATGAGGTTGCGCAACATTATAGCCAATTTGTAAGCAAACCACATTGTTTAAAATATAATTTCAAAATCACGATATTTTCTATTTCTACTTTTTTAAACGTTTTACTTGAATATCAACTATAAATTATCACATAACTGGATCTCAGTATTTTTTGCTTACATTTTAATTCACGTTTTGATGTTTCCTGATAACGATAAGGGCTTTTTTCAAAACTTCATTTTGTCTATCCTTCCGTTCGTCCGTCTGCCTGAACAACAGCGCTTAAACTATTCGTACGATATTCTCATTGTCATAACTTAATTGTTTTTGAAATACATGGCATTTTCTCCTTTTTATCCCTTCTCATGTATCCACTATTTTGTAGTGGTCATGTCGAGGCAACAAACACCAAACAACCGCAATTTCTCTCAGTTACTTCCATCACGTTGCGAATGCTGAGAGGAAGAATTCAGTACGAGTCATCGCTCAGGCGTGTCCACTAGAGAGTGTTTCAGAAGGCGACCGCTTCCGCGAGCATCACATCACTCTCTCTTGCGCTCACGTTGCTATCAGAACTGTGTGCATTGGCGAGAAACGCTTTCGATACGAACTTGCGAGAGCTTAGACCTCAAGTCTTTACCACTCGAACCTCAGACACGTTGCCCTATGGTAAACGCCCTCGTATGTTACGCTAATAGATAAAGAGATGTCAAACGATGGTGTGCCGTATGCCACTGAGAATGAGAAATGAAGGATTTGCGTGGCACACAGCTGCAGGCACCGGCGGCCACAAGGCCTTGAACATGTAAAGGACTAAGCTCAGTTGCGCCTGCATTTGGCGTAGTTCAAAGTCTGCCATTTAAACTACTGGCAGGCAGTAGCACGGAAGCGCATCTGCGCTGCTTATGGCGGTAGTGCGCTGCTCATCGCAGCAGCAGCGAGGTTGCGGGGCTCGAGTGTATAACTTCATTTAAAATACTGCTTTGCCAACGATTGCACCACTCGAATGGGCTGATGAATGGCTGTGTGTGAAGGGGCCCTCTTAGTGCTACGGCATTGTAGTGGTATTTTCCATAGGCTCGCATTGCCCAGAAACCACGTAAGTCATAGAACGCTAAAGTAGGCTGTATTGATGAAGGAAAACGTTTTCAGAGTTCCATATCAATGTGTCTTACAGTAATGTACGCATACGTATCATGTGTGAAAACAGCTTTTTGTAACACTGACGCGCCACACGCAAGCGCCGAGTACTGTTGGGTGAAAGCAGCTTAATCTACATCTCAAGGTAGTTTTTCAATCATCCTCACTTCGCCCACCTTGTATTTGCATTTGCCTACCGACGGCAAGCTGTACGGATTAGTTTAATCTCAGGAGGGTGAGTTTACTCGTTCCAAGGCTAGTTCCTATAATGCGTTCTATCCCGAGTTACAATAATGCACCCTCAGACTTCCGGACACGCTAGAACACAGATTTTTGTGACGTCATCCTCCTTGAGCCCCTCCGCCATCTCATTGCTACCAAATTTCTGGGTTGGTACTGAAATTGATCACTGATGAGTTGTGCCTGGACGAATCCCTACTCACAATTATAATTTCTCATTTTCGCACGCGCATCGGCTACTGTCAAGATGATGCCAGGAGCCCAACTGCGCGCTACCCGGACGGCTAATCCGAGTGTCTGTGAACACTCAATCGGTCAGCAGCGCTTCCGAGTGACGCGTTTGGTAGCAAAGCATTTGCTTCACCCATATCCGGGCAATAGGGATCCATGGAACCCAGAAACATCATTTTCAATATTTTACATGAAAACTATCCAAGGTTTTAGGAACTTTTTTGTGTCTTTGTTGACGATGGTGATTTTTAAACGTTCCCGCAACCATTTACCGTTACTAACGAATAAATTTAAAAAAAATCTTTTTTTTAAGTCGCAACCCGTCAAGCGGGATCCATTCGACCCACAATTCTTAATTGGCTTGTAATATTGCATTTTCTGGTTTTGTTTGGTCCATTTCTTGGTGACTGTTGTCCAAGGGACGGACGAATGACGGGTTGCGCAATATCTTTTCATCGGGAAGTTACCTGGCACCACGTATGCGCGATTCTAAGATCCACGCCTTTGCTGTGGGTTAGTATGTAGTCGAGTCAGGAGTGAGTTTTTAAAATCGTGCGCGGTCCAGGTTTTGCGAAAAAATAACACAGCGGCAGAAATATTACTGACACTGACTGAAGGTTAGAAACCATGGCATCATACGATTATTGTTAATATAGCAAAGAATTTGGTTCACAAAATATGAGGAGACAGTCAAACAGGATTGTACAAGAGCTGCCGCTTATCTATCACGTTTGCCGGGAGGAAACAGCTTCCCCATCTCAGAAACTTTATAACAATGATGCTAAAGAGAGATTTCATTTTTGCCCTTGGAAAAAAGTAGGAAACAAAGAGATGTAGCATCTGTTAAAAACCTGTTGTAGTTAGTATATCCAGAGAGTAGTGTGTGCGATCTGTAATAAGAGAAAAACAGTTTTAAAAAACAAACGTAAAGAATTCCAAAAGGTTTTTTTAAATATATTAGAGCATTGTTTTGTTACTCGCGTCCAAAATGTACACCTGTATGCATAATTCCATCGCACACACTCCTGGGTCCGCTGGACCCGGTGGTGTCATTAAAATCGGTTGCCCGGAATAGAGTGGTTCAATGCAGGTATTCACACGAGCGTAGTAGTTCCGCCACTTTGGCGCTTAGTGGCAAACTCCAGTCACCAACGCATAGGACAGCGTGCGCGCTACCTCCTGCCAAACTTCTAAATGTCATCCTTGACTCGATAGCCAGCTTCCTGTTATACATGCATCACGAGGCCGGCGTCCGGGCTCATGTGACCCACTAAGTCTTCCTTCCGCGCAGTGAGGCGAGCCAAGAGACGTCCACTGTCAGCCGTTTTGCCTTCAGGTCGTGTCATTGCTGGGAGGTAAATTCGACTTTGCCTGTGTATACAGTCAATTACTCTATTTTAAAAGGTACCTAACCAGTTTCGCGGTCGGCGCCCTGAAAGAGTGCCGTGTGCACTAAATCAGAATTAAGAGCGACCTCGTGCGTTTTCTACACGAGACAAGTTAGAGCGAACGACATGTAGACGTCATTGTTGCCGGGCGAGACAGAAGCGACGAGTGGATTATACTGTAAAATGCGTGACGTAATAAATTCTACTTCAGAACTTAAAATACAGCAACCGAATCCTACAAATAATCGGCAAGTGTCCATCTACCATAGTTAGATCTGAATTGGTCCACCATTTGGGTGACATTCCAGGTATCTTGATTTGCTGGTGAGGAACTGATCATTTCTCGAATCCTAATTTATTTAATAAACCTCGTAAAGTGTTGTACAAAATTGTTTTAAAAAGAGCATCAGAGACGCCACACTGGGGTAGTAAGAGGTACACTGTTTTTATTTTTTAGGACTACGAATGACAGCGCGGCGAGGAGCGGTGCGAGAAGACTCTCCAGCGAGGTGATCTACGTGAGGGACAGCGAGAGCAGCAGTGAAGACGATTGCGTCATCTTGGACTGCGCGAGTCCAAGAAAGACGTGCCACGCGAGCTGCCTCCCGGCTGACTTTTTCGACCGCGAGACTCCGCCCCTCTCGCCCCGAAGAACTGCCTCCGTCTCTCGGCAGCCGGAGCTTCCTTCGCTCGTGGGAAACGACGGAGGCAAAAGTGTAGAAGTGAAGAATGTTAAAGTAAAACTTAGAAGAATCGATGAACTGTTGCTTGACGAGGTTGCAGTTTCTTCAGGCAATGAGGAACGCAGTGCACTGGAGGCAATTTCGTGCAAAAGTGTTACAGAGACAAAGCAAACTTCCATAGATGATAATCTGAATAAGCACTACTCAGCACCTTCAATGAATACAGCAACAGCAAGAACACCTTTACTGACGGAGAGGTCTCCTGGAAAAAGAAATGAAATGTGTAAGAGTAGTTCACATAGAGTCAAGTCATTTTCACCTGACAAATCCAAGAAAATACGAATAACATTAGAAATACCTTACTCTAAGATATTGGAGTTCAATAACAATATACAACCAGAATTTCTGTCATTGACATCACCAGAAGACTTTCATAAGCCTAGTAAAACCAAAATTAGTCAAGAAAGGAAAGATAAAAACCCCTCTAAGGGTCAACTTACATCAAAAGATGGAGGGGAAAACCTGGATATTGTTGAAATAGATTTAACAAAGGGGGACAAACAAAAAGCTAAGAATGATTCTTGTGAAGATAGGAAACATGCCAAAAATTCAAAAAGACATTCTCGGCATGAAAATAAATATAGGTGTGAAATATGTTGGTTGCGGGTGCCGAATGTGACAGACCATATTGTTACACAACATACCCATTTATTTACATAACTATCACTATTAATGTTAATTGTATTTAATTTATTGCGTTGCAGCGAAAAGAATTGTGTATTTTTGTGCTGCATGTGATATAAAGTTTTTAAGTGTTAAGTTCATGTGATATAAAAGTGTGATTAATTTATATAAAGGAGTGGGCGTATTGAAATACGTAGTAATTTCTACTTTTGTCATTGATTTAATTTTTAAATGTAAAAATGTTTTTGAGCATTTGTTTGGGTTGTGAGCTTTTCTGTGTTAATTTATAAAAGTTCTAATATGGCAAATAAAATGTATAGAACCTGTGAAGTGTACTGTAAGTAAATGTAAAAGAAGTCATTGGAAGTAGTCACAAGAAAAAGAGTTATGTGTAGTGCATATAATGTACTGTAATAAAAATGTATATTACACTTTACGTTAATATCCCTTACTGTAACGAATCGACTCGGTGGTCACATAATGGGGAAACTATGCTTGAGGTGAGTTAAAATGCTCGACAAAGCGTGGGTTAAAATGCTTTGAGAATTGTGGGTTTGACAGGTCGAAATATGTTTTATGTTAATCGCGTATTCCAAAGCCCGGAACTTCATTATAAAAGAGCGAAGTTTCAGTTCGCCTTAGATGTTTGAGTTTGTTATAGACGCCATTCTGCTTGCGGATGAGTATTGTTCGCAGTTTTCGCGGAAATGAGCGGATGGCTTTACTTTCGTAACATTTAGGAAGAAACCCCCAATACACTCCCTATGACCGATAGTTTCGAGGTTGATACGATATCTCGCGTCCGTCGTGACAACTCTGTAACAACAAAGAATACCCATTATTAATTTACATATTTTTTAAATATCAATAACGTTCTGGGCTGAATGTGATAATTAATGGCCGGTTTCGTAAAGCTTAATATGTGAACATTATACTGCAATTATGTACTGTAATGACTACATAGTAAGATCGTGTTAAATTTTTTATCTACAAAGCAAGATCTTCCTGATTAGCTTTTAAGTACCCAAATATTCACATAGCTAGAGATTTTTTTATTGAGCAGTTTGTTTTAATACTATTAAAGGAACGATTGTTTTGTGGGCCAAATAATGGTCTGGGTAACGGTCCTGAGGATGCCGGTTGAGACGGAGTGTAATGATACATTTGTAATAGAAAAAAAAATTAGACCGGGCCAAACGGTAACTCAGGAACTGCCTGCCTTGAGTTTTCATCGTGTAAATTCACCATTAAATGAAATATGATGCGTGGATTTATCATATATATTGTAACCCGCCTATTGCCAACTTACCACCTTCAACAGCAGCACGCATGAGCAGTAAGAGTGTTATCAAGATTTGCTCGTGAAGCGAGCTTAGAATTCTCAGGAAGCAGGATTTTTCGGGTGCGAGAAAGGTTTGCACTCTCGACACAATAAAATTGCAAAGATTGTGAACAAACGAGCGTATAATTTACCCATAAACGTTTAGTGGCACAATAACACGCCAAAAAAATTATCAGTTTTACAGAGAATGAATAGAGCCCAAATAGAAACCTTATAATACACAAATTCTAACTTCCTTCAAAATTACAAAAAGGAACAGAAACCTTACAATACACAAATCCCAACTTCCCTCAAAATCACAAAAAAGAACTGTACAATTAAACCACCTATCACGTAAAACAGTACAAGGTATGGCTCTTTTTTTAACTGTCTCATTAATTGGGGATTTCCCTTGATCCACTATTACGCATAACAATGTTTCCCACTTTAAGCTATTTTAGTGAACTCGCATTGCTGCGATCTCTTTCTTTTTTTTAACGAAACTGCTGTGGTGCAAATGCACGTGCCTCACCGACGCTGCGTTGCTCGCTGCCAGATGACCTCGCCGATTCAAGGCTGTGGGCGCTCCAACGTTTCGCCGAAATCTCCACTTACTGCGTCGACCGTTCAAAGTCCCACGCTGAACCCAGGTCCTTCGCACCTACACGCCCTGCCTTCCATCCAAGACCATACCTTTCGCACGTACGCTTGAGCCTTCTTGGAGATGCCTTCTTCTATCTTCACACGCCTCGTTCTATAAATTAGTTCGCGATTCCAGTTTATCGAATTTGCTGCGCCCCTTTCGTTTGCGTGCGCGGCCTGACTACTACACTTTTGGCTTGTGCAGTAATAAGGAGCAATATGACCGTACTGGAATAATTTAGAGACCTTCGGCGCGAATCTAGGCTATATTAGCCTTACTGCCGATTCCAAAATTTACACCACTTTCTATTACTTGAGTGGTCTAATTTTTACTCTAACTCCACGTATTTAAATAAACTCCTAACCTATCTCGAGAAGACCTTGCTGACCTTTGCTGCTGCCAATGCAATCGTCGTTGCAGGAATTTCAGAGAGCGCTCCCGAAGCGTGTTGCCGTATTTATGGCCCGACGCCTGAGGAAATTTCAGGAGTGGGGTTGCTTCCCCTCTTTCAACCCTTCACGAGAAAAACGTTGCTCGCTAGTTCGAGCGCTCTATTGCGTTCAACGGATTTCAGGTTGCGCGTTTAAAAGTCATTGCTCCGCCGCGTATGCTATCGCTGCTTGTGGGTGTTCACACATACTATACGGCGTTATGGGGTTGCACAATCCCATGACGTCACTATATATATATATATATATATATATATATATATATATATATGTGTGTGTGTGTGTGTGTGTTTATTAAAAAATATTTATACTGGTATATTGTAGCGGTGCGGTATTATTTAACTAAAATAAAATAAAGTAGAACTTAAGGAAGAGTTTGTACTGAGGAAGGACCCACGGCGTCACGCGCACGCCCGCCTCTTGCGACAGCCACGATCCCCCTGACCCACTTCGTCAATTTATGGCACCCCGACGGCCGGTGAGTTGTCAGGCGCTCCGCTGCGACCCCGTCCGGAACGTTTTCGCGACGCTTGTCACCGATACCGGGGAAGTACAGAATAATAATTCATTATTAGCCGGGAAGCCCCTCCATTGACGTGGCCTACTTTCTAGACGACAACGGACACGTTCCGAACGACAGAGAAAGACGGGACGGAGAGAGAGAATGGAAAATTTCCAAGATCTGCCGGAGCTTATTGTCCGAAATCTGAGTAAGACGCCATAACCTTTGGCCAATAGTGACTAGACCGTCAAAGGGAATTCGAAACATACGAGGAGAGAGGGTGGGGGAATGAACATCAACCTCGCATTGACGGAGATACAAATGGGGACTTGGCGAGAGGCATTCTCGGAGAGAGGAGGGCGCATCCCTGAGGAGAAGAGCGTGCACTCACTTGAAGTTTCTTGAGGAGAGGAAGTGCAAAGGCACTTACGGGGGGGATTTGCGAATCTTTGCCACTGCTTATTCGCTGCAAAATTCGCACTCACTGAAATTTCATCGAGAGGAATCGCAGACGCAGCGGGAGACAATTTTGTGTGCTCCGCACCTTTGATCGAGAGGCGATACACCCCGGCCATCTATAAGCTCCGCCGTAGCAGCCTCCACACGACCCTTCGCTGACACCACTGCCCGCCGCTGACGCCCTTCTGATGAGGGTGCGTGCACAACCGCATTCCTGGGAAGGCCATCTATAAGCTCCTCCGCGCCCGCACGGGCCCACTGCAGCACATCTGCCACGGAAGGTACCCCAGGCAACGTAATCAGGGCCAATAAACCCTTAGAGACTATTTGTAACGCGGTGCCGCGCTGAGGCACAGAAAAGTCCTCAAGGACAAACTTGTAATCGTAGTTATAGGATAATTTGTATGTATCACTTCTTCTGTTGTTGTTCTTTCTAATTTTTTTTATTTATTCACAATCTTTCTCCTTTATCAATGTAACTTCCCTGGTACAGACATTGCCCAGGAATAAATGTTTTTCTTTACCAGTGACCAAATTGTTTTTTTTGTCAATGGATTTATCTTATAATTCCTTCCATCACCTAGTGTTAAGATAGGAAAGGGTAGGGGAACCGACTGAGCTAGGACCGAGCCGCTACCGCGCATTTCCGACGATCCCACCTCGCCGGGACTGCGTGGGGGCGTAACAATATGTACAAATGTGAAAAATAAATTTTAACTTTCCATGAAATGATGTGCATTTTCAGTATTTTTGTAATGGGTGGAAAATGAGATATTGAAGATTTCAGGATTGAGGTGGCAGTCATGTTGATAAACGTGAAATGCTTGGAGCAAAGCGGGCACCAAGAAACTAGAATGCTTTTGTCGCCACTAAATGCAAATCCAAAGTGATGGGGTGGTGACAATTGAATGTTAACTGACAAGAAGGCCAAAGCCTTTCAAACATTGCTCATCTCAGCGTTCATTCTGGCCAGAGCAACGGTGAAAAAAAAAGACATTGGTTTCTATACCTAGTCGTGGTCACTAATTCGTTTAATTTTAAGAAATCAAAATTGCGATAATAAAATGGAATATTAAAGTACCAGAAACAATGAAAAATATAAAGGGCTGGATGTAAATATGGAGATCATTCAAAATGCCTCCGCAGTGGCTGCATTACCACCAAACGTTCAGAGCTGTTCGAGGAACAGCTGGAGCAGAACGCCTGGGACCTTATCGGGCCCAGGTGCAGAATTTTTGATTTGATCTAATACATAAATCACTTCTTCCATGAGGAAAGGTTTGTTGTAGTTATCGTTATTGTCCCTAGTTAGTAGTATAATGTTATTTCGACTCAAGTTTCTGCTTAAGGGATCTGTAGATAGAAAGTTTGGGTCAAAATTACTGCTATCTGAATTTATGAGCAAACGTGTTTGCTAAAAGGCTACATACGGCTTGAGTTCCAAACTATTTTAATCCAGTACTATCAATAAGATATTTAGGAATACTGGGAGTATTTATTCCACTAATGGCTTTTATTTTATGCCATACCTCTGATATAGGAGATTGGTGTTTGATGGAAGAGGTGAACTTTTGCCATGAATTGATCATTGGGGATTTGAGAGTAAGTCTTGCAAAGGCTCTTGCTTTCCTGTAAGCAATACCATTTACCATGGTTTTGTTTTTCTTAAATTTTCTATATGTTCTTTTTTTAGTTTTAATTGCTGTAGTACATTGTTCGATCCACCATGGAACTTGGCGTTTTTTAATTATTCCCAAAGTATAGGGAATCGACGTTCTTGCTGCTTCTAGAATTAGTGAAATAAAGTCATGCACTAAACTGTTTAACTCTTCAGAATCTAGGTTGATTGGTTGATTAAGAGTTGCAATATTGGACTTGATAAACTGTTCCCATTTAGCTTGTTCTAGGATCCATAGATCTAAGCTTGGAAGGGTCATATTAATGTGATAGTGGTCGCTATCATATAAGTACTTGTTGGTAAACCATGTAATTCTAGCTGCAATGTCATTTGAGGCAAAACTAAGATCAATGTTGCTTTCATTACCATTACTACAGTTAAAGTGGGTGGCCAGACCTGTTTTTAATATGGTAAGATCATTATGATTTTCTAGCCAATCTTCACCTAAA